CCCCAAAACCCCAAAACCCCAAAACCCCAAAACCCCAAAACCCCAAAACCCCTTCTATGACAACAAAGATTGAAATTTGAAGTTTAATTTTTCTAAAAGTTATAACAATAAAATTACAAGAATGTCAGCTATTCAAAAACAGAAATTCCCAAGCTTGCAAGGGAAGCTAAATTTTGTGTTTACCAACATGGCAGGTAACCAGTAGACTTTAGCATTCTTATTCTGACATGATGAGGTTTAGACTCCACACAGCAAAGCACACAGAGGATGCAACGAGAGGAAACTCTTAAGGACATTAGCCAGAGTCCTTCTAATTTGAATCATTTTAACAGCGTGACTCACAAATTTAGTTTCCCAGAGGGCTCTGACTGCCGCTCTTTAGAGAATAGTTATGAGCGAAGGCAGAGATCTATCAGTAATCCTTGCATAAAGAAGTTTAGATATAGAAAGGAAAGCAATGTCTCCATTTGTAAGGGGCATACATCCAGGGATGCACTTTTTCACTCCAAAATAAATCCTCTATGAAAGGTACTGTGAATCATCATAATTTGTGATAGAAATGAAAAGAAAATTTAGAAAGATACCCCAAAAACCAAAAGAGAAAATGCTTGAGAGTATATTCAGCCCTCATTATAAATCTTCTGACCTCATGAGAGGTAAACAATTCAATGGCTTGACCTTGTTTAGACCCACTAAAACCACTTAAGAGCAGAGCTGATTCTAAGAAATTAGTGCTAAAGAAAAAGATGGTCAATAAATCTGGCTACAAAGCTACAACATTTGATTTGAGTACATTTCTTTATATTTTAGAGGAGAAATTTTCAGACAAAGAAATACCAGGCATAGAACAGATTATGTCAAACAGTACACAATTCCGGTCAAAGAAGGAGATCAGAAACCTTTGTGAGTATGTCTATGATGTAATTCTTTTCCCTAACTGTAGATAAAATAAGTCGAAGTATGAGCCATCTGGTGCTGCTAAATCAAGGTCTCCAAAATTACTGAAGAATACCTTCTCTCCCGTTGTCTACAAACTATATCGTTAGTTCTGGTATAATACTCTCTAGGAAATATGCGTAATAAGCAGAGAATAGTCAGGGAGGCTCCTACACCAGAAGTTAAACTTTCCCCAACAATACAGAAGGTGAGGCCTAAGGCCAGGCCTCACCACCAAACTCTGGAAGAGCACAGCCAAGATGCCAATGAGAAACAGAAAATATGTGTGTATTCTTAAATTCTGGCGTTTAAAATTTCTTAATGAAATTTATGCAACTTTTAATAGCATGCATGTATAGCACCAGTAGACACTCGGGATGATTTCACAAAGCAATTTATGATCCAGTCTAAAATAAGACAAGTTAAAGTTGAATCAAGTGATGGAAGTACATCAATTTGGCATAACTTCATAGATCTTGGAAGTAGAAGAAGCAGTAAGAGAAGTTCTATCAGCTCTTTCAAGACAAGAATGAGAGATATGTCTAATAATTCTTCCCTAAACTCACCCCACAATTGGTCTTTCTCGAAGGCGATCAGTAAGCCCCTTCTCGAGTTTTAGATGTTTTGGTAACTAAGTAAACAAGTTGAGGAAGAGATCGAGAAAGATAAGGTCAGCTTACTTAAGCTAGATTTTTATAATTTCTTCGAAATGCTCTCTAAAAGAAAAAAGAGTTTTGATTTTGGAGATCCCAGAATCACTAAATTGTTCAATAAGTACTATGAGCGGGCCAGGCTCGAGCTTTTTAAGGATAGAACCAGGTTCAGGACCAAACTTAACAAGGCTAGGGTTGAGGATCTGAGACGATTTCGCAAGAAACATGAGATTATTGGAGTATATTAGATTTTATATAGTAGAATTATGCTATCAGTAACAAAAGCCCACTTGATTACCAACACAAAAGTCTTTATAACAACGATAGGATGGATTTCATTGATATTCCGAGTAATAAGAGGATATTTGATGAATGTATTTCTGATGTTGACCAGGAGGAGCTTCTTCAAGAAGAAATCAAGGCTCTTCGTAAGACTAGAAGAAGAATCCAAAATCGAAAAATATCTAGCTAGTGTCAATATTTCCAGATAAAATTGGGGTTTTGGGGTTTTGGGGTTTTGGGG